GGTAGTAAGATATACCCTAGCTTTGGCTTCCAACGAAGATAGTTACACCACGAAATATAGTTCTTAAAGATTTTTTCACTCAGTTGCTGTACAGTGCCACTTTTTAGCTGCATAAACACAAAATATTAACATGAGATGCAGCACATGAACTCTAATAGAAATTTGAGATCACATTATAAACGGAATAGTATAGATATTTCTCAACTGCAAAACAAATTACCTGTTTAGCAACTTGCGGGTTCTTATTCCTTATATCAATATTTGCAAGGAGCAGAATTAAGTGTTCCCTCTGGTTTGCTACATTTCCTTTCTTCATATGCAAAGAAGACATGCTAGCAGTTAGCAGATCTTATCTTCCCTTTTACCATATTCATACGGTATCACAACTAGACTCACTAAAGTTGGATGTAACAAATCTAAAAGTATTTAGAAAGCACGATTTTCTTTTTTATGAGAAGAAAAAACACCAATCTCAAATATCACGGACACATCCCAACAATGAAAACTTCTAATCCTTATTGGCATGAATAACAGAAAGAACGAAATACACGATAAAAAGCAGCGAGCAGAACTAGATCAAATTAGCAGATGATTGGATGTATAGGGATTGGAATTTGGATCACAAATTCACAATTCCACGAGCTATAAGAAACCAAGTCTCAATACTCCATCAAATATCAAAGAAACCCTATACACCCTCCAATGATATTGGGATTAGAGCCAGCTAACCTCCAGAAGCAACTACCAGTAACACTAAAACAAATTCCATTGTAACTAGAGTCTCCAAAAGACAAGTTACCTGAAACCCAAAAATTGAGGATAGCCAATCAAGTATATCATTTATAGGTTTCACCCTCTCCGTTGCAGCTGGCGGATTTTCATCGGGGTTGCCGGTTGAATGAATTTGGGGCATAGGAAGATTGTTCACCTTCTGTAATGCTTCAATTGCTGCTTCAATCTATACAATACTGATGAAAGTAAGTATAGGGCACTAAAATTAAGAAGTTAAGTAGTGAACTAACGCAAATATAGTATCATTTAGACTTGTGTTAACCTCCGGAAGTTCCATGATAGCTGGTTTAACTGCCATCGCAAACAAGGGGAGAATGTTATAATGTTTATGCTGCTCTTTTTTCCTTTGAACCTCCTTGGCATATTGCTCTGTCTGTAATGACAAATTAGACAAATTATTTCATGTTTTTTGTTCGAGGAATTAAATTATTTCTTGCATTGAAAGTTTGAAGACTCATACCTCTACGTCAATTTTTGAAGAAGGTACCACTGTCTGTAGCACTTCATATAGTACAGTCGCTATCTGATACATCTTAGCCATCTCTTCCCTTCAGGAATTCAAGAATCAAAGGAGAACAAAAGGTGTAAGCAGCATGCAAACCAAAACTGTGGCATATGAAAGATGAGAAACAAAACTCACGGTCGTTTGGTATACTCTCCTCCTTCGATATTGTGCTTATAGAATCTCTGGTAAAAGGCCTGAATTTCTTGAACATCATGTCTTTCAAGGATTGGGTGTGTTTCAGTTTCTTCCTGTAACAAGTATACATTTTCTTTGAGCACTTTGATCCATGCCTTAAATCAACAAAATATTATATAGATGAAGCATTATATCTAAATGTTGCAAAAATCTTATCATTCAAAAAGTAGAAATTTAAGGTGCTTATTGCACATTCCACCTTAGGAAAAAAAAATACATTATGTATATCTTTAAAAGCTTCTTAAAAAATTAAGCATAATTTAAACAGATGCTTGATGATGTTCAAACATCATGATTCTGAAAGATGAAACCATAGCAGGGAAGAGGAGGAAAAGTTATGAAGGAAACTTTTGACCAACATATAACTGTGATGTTTTGTATAGAATTTAAATTTGTGAGGCTATGAAAGTTTGTAGAGAAAAGGACTGTAAATCGACAAATTAATGGTTTAAGCAATTAACTTGAATGACACATGGATATGAACATGACACCGTGTATTTTCTTTAAATCTAACATAGACATGAAAAGGAGACGTTTATTAGAGTATATCATTTTTAAATATAAGAAAATTTTAATTTAACAAGCTTATGTATTTTTGTCCTCAAAAGAAAAGGAAATTAATATACTTCACTCCCACTATTTATTATTTTGTTCTATATACCTATTTTTTGTCCACGTTTTTAAGAGTAAACAAATACATAAAAGTTTGAATACATCATATATCTAATAGTGTTTGGCATGAGTTTCAATCACGTGTCCTTAGCCAATGTTAACATGTATCCAAAAAAGTGTTGTACTCATATTCAACTTACTCAACTGGTGTCTAGCATATATCTATTGTGCCAATAAAGTTAGGAGTGGTTGACATGTGACACAAACACATTGCCCAAACTAAAATGTCTGTTCTTCATATTCTTTAAGTTAAATAATAATAATAATCTGAATGTAAACTGTTTAATGTTTTAAGTAATAAAGTTGAACCTATTAAAAGCTAACTTTTTTACCAAATCTAGAAAGTAATTATCTTGAGCCGATTGAAGTTCACTTTGCGACCATATCTAGAAACACTATGATATTAAAAGGTATACCCTTTCAAGTCTGTGTAACAAATAGGTCTTGAATTGCCGGACACCACGTCCACTTGATGTTGGATCCATTTTATGAGCCTTCTCAAATGCATGGAAGCGGCCTACAAATTAAAGTAACAAGGAATACAAAGTTCAATTGTGGTTTTAGGAGCTAAACAACAGTGCAAAAAGAAAATAAGAATTCTCTGGTAACATGGCCACACTCATAACATGATCCAGCTGTAATTTTTCTTTTACTGCACCTACAGAACTACAAGTTACGCAAAGGAAACTTTTCCAAGTATATCACCTACCAGTGAAGGATAAAGGTAAAAGTTAAAAGGCAGAAAGAAGTTGATAGATGAAAATTTTCAGTATCCATTCAGCATACTCCCTAAAAAGTTCTTCCACTCATATCATTAAGAAAAGGGGGGCTAAATTGAGAAAGAGGAAAATTAAACATATATGAAGATAATTTCACATTACATGAAGTCGCTTGCAAACTCAATGGTTTGGTTGGTTGCATGAAAGAAGAACTTGTGTTATGTATCCCAATATAATTCAATGAAGCCACATTATTGTGTTCTAGAGATTACATAAACCATTATTGAAGTCCATCCAATTCAAGTGACGGAGCAGTTCCAAGCTTGGCTTGCCACAATTACTAAATCATAGAGAGAGTAAGGAATGGTGGTGGCAAAGACAAACCATCCCTGCCTCTCAATTGACTAACACTCTAGACATGAAAATGATTGCAGTTGTAACCTCGTTCCATTTGGGTTTTCGGTACGGTAAAAAAAAAAAATCACGCAAAAAAGTAAAGTATATCGTGATTGATGATTTCAGGCAGTTAATAGAACGTAATAAAGAGCAGAAGGAAATGGCGTAGATGAAAATAAAAGTATTATAGTTAAAATTATATGAGCTGGAGTGATTACAGAGATAGGCGACTCTGGGATTTTCGGTCTCAATCTCGTTGGCGACTCGGAGAATGGGGGCAATGGAGGCGAGGGAGGAAGGGACGAGCTCGCTGTCAATGCCGGAATTATCCTCGGGCAGCTCAACCATCCGAGTGGTCGTTCGGGTAACCCGGCGAGACAAGGAACGGGGCGGGCCCACCTCGTTCTTGCTCCCACTGGAGCTGGCCATGAGTTGGGTTGGAAAGTGTCAACAATCTGGAAACTGTTGGGGGTGAGGGATTGGGTAAAGCGAAGGAGACAGGGTGTTGGTGTCCGTATGTGAAAAGTAGAGGAAATGGGGAAGAAAGTGGGGAGAAGCATGTTTATGTAGGTAGTAGTAGTAGCAGAGAAGAAGGAAGATGCTTTGAGTGTGAGGTGGGGCAGTTGGAAGGAGGGAGGAGGAGCTTTTGGATTGCTCAGGGAGAAAGAAAAGAATTGGAATAGTGAGTGGGATGATTGAGTTGGAGTTGCTTTGGAGTTTGATAAGGAATTGAAGGTGAAAGAAAAAAGGTAGAACGCAGAGGGCGTAAGAGTGTGGGTGTGGAATGGGCGCTTTGGCTTTTGCTTTTCTTTTTTGGCGCTAATAAATTAAATTTATGCATTAACAAAGGTGACAGCTACACTGCTTTGTGGAGAGTGATGTTGTGTCGTCTGTCTATGAATCTATAAAGCACTCTTCTGAGCCTCGCTTTTTTCAGGTGGGAAGACGCAAGACAAAGCCTTTGGCTTGCTTTTCCCGCCTCACTCTCATTCTCGCTCTCACTGTGACTGCTTTTTTTTTCTGCCAACCCAACCACAGTGGAGACGATGAACTTACATGACCTTCACAATTGCACCAAAAAGGAGATTGTAAAACGCTTCATTTTTCATCCCTCCTTCTCTTGTACTTTTTAACTATCTTATATTCCTCTCACCATTCTTGTACTTTTAACTATCAGCAGATTCAAATCACACACTTTCTTTTTCTCTTTTCTCTTTTTTCTTTTTCTCTTTTCTCTTTTTTTAGTTCAATAGTTAAAGATCAAATGGATACATTATTCAATTTTTTTTTTTTTTTTTTTTTGTAATTTTCATGTTAGTAGACCATTGTGGCTCGATTCTGTTGAAAATTGGAACGCTACAAATGTTGTGGTTAAAATAATGTCCTAAAATCACAATTAAGAAAAGGATTGATTTCTCAACCACTTATATAAATTTATTTAATTTTGATAATTAATTATTGTGTTATAAAAGTATGATTTAAACGTCCAATTTATAAACAAAATATCAAGTTGTGAACAAATGTTAGAAATGGTGTTAAGGAATGGGAGCATAGTATTACGCAACAAAATTTATTTATTAACAAGAGAGATGTGAATGAAACAATGATAAATAAGACCTGGTATATACCAGAAATACAATAATAATAACAAAACAATGATAAATAAGACCTAGTATATACCAGAAATACAATAATAATAACAAAACAATGATAAATAAGACCTAGTATATACCAGAAATACAATAATAATAACAAAACAATGAATGTGAATCGCTCCAGTCTAAAGCAGTAACCAAGGTAGGCAGCATGCTCAGAAGACACAGTCCAACACCCAGCAGCAACACAACGCAGCAACGCTACAAACACACAGCCATAACTTTTATTAATAATCATTTCTGTATATATACTTGTAAAACTCATAATTTAAGGGAATTCAAATATTCTAGGAGGAGAGGAGACTGACCATCCTTTCCAAAACCCATCCCCCTTGGATTGAGTTTGTGGCGTAAAACTCTGGTGCGGGTACTGTGGACCGTCTCTCACCGGATACCCAACTGGCGGCGGCGCTGCAACATAAGGCCCCGAATTCCACTCTTTCACTTGCTCCACCGCCGGATACGACGGAGGCGGCGCTGGATAGGCCACTGCAACAGATTTAAAAAAGAAACAACCACTCTGTTTAATATACATAAACTGCAGAAGTAGTAATTGAAAATGAAATCAGTGGGTGGCAGCTTCAACTTACTGGGAATTTGCTGATGGCGATACTGGCTCGTGATGGCAGATGAACAACGGAAAGTTAGAGAATTGCAGAGAAATGGTGGAATGCGAGTTTATGAAGAATCCATGGGGCTTATATATATTAATAAATATGGTGGGAAAAGAGAAGGTGCATGGAAATTGAAATGAGGCGAAAGGTCGGTTTGTTGGCTTCACCAACAAGAATTTGAGTTTCATATCATCAACCGCGTATTTGACTTGTAATTCAAATATTTCAACTCTGGAAGTTTCCGTATATCTGTATACGTTGTTGGACGTGACAGATGTAAGAATAATGCATAACATCTTGGGTCCAATGGAGTTTGGTTTTCAGATACGGGCCTCATGGGCTTGGGTTGAAGGAGGAAATTTTGGGCCTCCCGGGCTTGGGTTGGAGGAAGAAATTTTGGGCCTCACGGGCTTGGGTTGAATGAAGAAATTTTGGGCCTCAAATACAGTAGCTCCACTATTTTAAATTAATTATGAAGAGTTGAGTTGAGTTGAGTTTTTAAAATTTGAAAGCTTTGGGACTATTTAGGCAATTTGGTGGGTGAAACAAGCGTTTTGGGGTTTACCCAACTTAGGAAAAAAGGAATAGTTTTGTAAGGCACAAGAGTCCAAAGGGACGTTATAGAGTATTAGGATATGATTTTATTTTATGAATTTTGTACCATATTTAAATATACAATATATGCAAAGATGGTATGAAATTGAAAATGAAAATCTTAGAGGTCTCACGTGGGAGCAGCATGAATCGCACTCTCCGCCATACCAAACTTTGAATATGCTGCCAAACACACCACCCGGGTACACCGTACCCTCAACGACCTCTGACCCCTCCCATACTGCTACGCTGGCACTTCCCACGTGTCTCCGTGGGCCCGGCTCCAAATGAGAAAAAAAAAAAAAGAAAAAAAAAGAAAGAGGTGTTTTGTAGTTTATGTGGGCCTACGTGGCGGCCTCGTCTCTACCTCCACTGTCCATTTGCTACGTGGCGTATTCATACGCTGTGACTTATTTAAATCAATCAAACAAACCAACCAACCAATTTCCCTCTCGATTATTTTGAAGTTGCCTTGAAAGCAGGGTTAAGATAGCCCCATCCGAAACTACTAAAATACCCCTGGCTATCCCACTAAATTACACCCTCCCTCCCTTTGTTGAAATACTAAGCAGGTAGCAGAGTCAAAACGCAACCCAGTTCAAAAATAGAAAACCCAAACCCAAAAAAAGGCAACCCCACGTCCCACCCCATACGGCTTGCTTCCTTGATTTCATTTGCACGTCCCCCCTCCAATTTTCCCCATTATTCTCTCTCTCTCCTCTTTCTCTCCCTGATTGGCATGAGAATCGAAGACTCCTTCTCTGTTTTGCAACAGGATTTTCAAGACAACTGCAACATTTCTTTTCTCTCATGGCTGTTCAAGCTCGCCATCTTAATCTCTTCCATCCTCAACTAATAGGAGGAAACAGGTATACATATATGGGGTTTTGTTTTCCAGTTCTTATAGTTTTTGGATGTGATTCTGACGATGGGAGTGATGGATTTGCAGAGAATTTCCGATTCCGATGGAAGGAGATGCGAATATTTACAACACCCAAGTGGGTTATGGACTTCCATTACTCTCAGGAACTACCACCGCCGAAACTCTTCTTCCGCCTTACAATTCCGCGATCGTCGATTCAGTTTCCCCCAAAACTGTAGCCTCCGCGACAATGAATTCGGAACTCCCTCTGCCAAGAAAGCGCTCTAGAGAATGTATGAACAGGAACCACCCTTTCGCCTCCTATCCCAAGTCTTGTGGAACTTTCTCGTTTCTTGGCGAAGACATCTCCCCTCAGATCCAGCAGCAGCAACTCGACATCGACCGTATAATCTCCCAACACGTAAGTCCAGTTGATCAACATTCAATTATTTAATTAACTAAACTCCATTCACCCGGATTTGGAATTGACGTGGGTTTTGGTTACATATGGGAACAGTTGGAGAAGGTGAGGTCGGAAGTGGAGGAGAAACGGAATAGTGATGCGAGGAGGATAATGGAAGCGATGGAAGTGAGTGTGATGAAGAGGCTAAAAGCGAAGGAGGAAGAGATGGAAAAGATGGGGAAATTAAATTGGGCATTAGAGGAAAGAGTGAAATGTTTATGTATAGAGAATGAAGCATGGCGCGACATGGCACAGACGAACGAAGATGCGGTGAATACGTTAAGAAGGAATCTAGAAGTCGCGTGTAAAGTAAAGGAAGATCGAAAGCAGAAGCAGGGAATGGAGGATGGAGGGAGAGCATTGGTGGAGGAGGCGCAGTCGAGCTGCGGGAGCAACGAGGGGGAGGGGGAAGGAGAGTGGCGCGTGGTAGAGAATAATAAGAATAATAGGAATACTGGGAGGAGGAGGAAGAGGTGGTGCAGAAGGTGCGGGAAAGAGGCAGCGAGTGTGGTGGTATTGCCGTGCAGGCATCTGTGCCTATGTAGTGGGTGTGGGTCATGGGTGCACGTATGCCCCATCTGTAAATCCTCAAACAACGCCAGTGTACATGTAAACATGTCTCCTCTTTAACGAAGATACTTTTGATATCAATACAACTGCCCTCTTTATTTTTAATTGATGTAATGGGGAAATTTAAGAGGCGAAAGGAAAAGGATCTGAACAGGAAGGCGCTGGTTGATAGGATGGGAATAAGCGGGAGGGAGGCAGCGGCAATAATGGGAGCCCAAGTTTGTTTTATATATGTGTAAAAGAAGTGGAAAACGACGCCGTGGGGGCAACATGCATTGAATATTGTAGGTCCAAAGAAAAGGAATCCCATCCCCCGTTGTTTACTATTATTAGTAGTATGTGTGGCTTTAAGACCGGCATGGCCCCTCCATTGCCCCGTGAATCTGACGCCTCCAGAACTACAAAAATCATAACTTTGATCCCTCTTGGAATGGAATGGAATGGAATGAATTACTGTTTCCAACAGAATTGCTCTCTGCTATGAATTACTCTCTGCTCTGCTTCCAACAGAACACCCAGCTTTTGTTTTCCAATATTTAAACATTTCAATTTTGCCATGTTTCAGAAGTCTGCACTGGAAGAGTTTGGTGTTGCAGCTTCTGGACTGAATCTGGTTACAGTCCTAATACACCAACCAAGGAGTTTATAACCAGATTGTTATTCTGTTGTTTGAGATGTTTGGAGATCAATTTTGTTATTCTCGCTCTATGTTTCGCTCCATGTTTCTTATTCTCGCTCCATGTGTTTTAATCTATATTCATATACTCATATATGGTTGAATTAAAGAAGAAACAAAGAAACAGCGAGCCAACAAACAACAACAACATGTAAAATCTACTCAAAATACTCAATACTACAGAGCCGGGGAAAAATGATCCATCTAAACACTATATAGAATGTTACAACAAAAACCCATGTAACATCTGAATGGTTAAACCCATGTAACATCAACCCTGCTAAGATGAGTACTATATATTCAAATCCCTCAAATAATGGAACATAAATAATGATCATCCAATCTAATCAAATCCCAAATATTTACTGAAGAGAAAGAGGAAAGAAAATCTCATCTGATTTGGGGACTTTTAACCACAACATGTCCACCACTGATCTCAGCTCATCCCAGTTGCTATTTGTGAAGAAATCATTCACATCAAGCTGCTCATTTGTGGGGAAGGCTATTGGAGCTGAAATAATGCCACTGGAAACTGGAGATGGGGCCATGGAGGAGCTGCTGCTGTAATAGTATTGATAATTCTTATTCATCCATTCACGATTATTTGGGCCACTAGGAACAACTGCCTTCTGCTCATTCTGGACGATCATGGACTCGCAGCTCCAATTGTTATAACTGACTTCTCCACTGCCCATGACCTGCTCATTGCACAGCTTCGTGTTCTTCTGATCAGTCAAGGGGTTTTTGGTGGGCGCTTGTTTGTTCCAATTGGATCCATACCTTCTGCAACTCATATTCCTCTTGAAGATCCGGCACAGTGTCCAGATTTCCTTATGCATGCACACAAACACAATCATGGAAATTAAAGAAGAATTCTGTTCAAGGAAATGCAAAAGAAGTTTGAAGTATGTGTTACCGCTTCTTGAGCAATGTTATAGGAATTGGAAGGTGGGAGGCGAAACTCGTGCATCATCCAATAAGTTTTGGTGCCTTTTCCAGCACTTCCACGATAGTAAACGAGCGTTTTCTTGAGGCCAATGCACTCACTGCCCTCCCCTCCGTTGGAATACACGGGCTTGTCTATGCCAGTGGCCTTCCAAAACCCGGACCCAGTTACTCTATTTGGCCTTATACTGTTCTTGTACTTCCTCCCTCTCTTGCAGTAAAAGTACCACTCTTTATCTCCCACGTTGCTGCTCCCATCTGCATGCCAACCGCCCCACAAGACCTTACAATTCTATTCCCTTGAATCCAATAATATTAATAGTAATGTTTAGTTTGTTCTTACACGGAAGATCCCAGGGGTTGTGTTTGTAGATATCCATCTGTTTGATGAGTCCAAGCCTGATGCCTCTCTTCTCAACTTTCCCACGAAGGTAAAAGCTCACCAGCTCTTCGTCCGTCGGATGGAATCGGAATCCGGGAAGCGGGATCTCATCCTCGCCCTCGCAAACTTGTGGAGTATCCATTTCTTCTGCGGTTCTTCAAACATTGGGTGCCCATCTTCTTATACTAATCATTTAAACTGGTTATTCATTACGTCAAACTCACAAAACTTTGACTCTCGCCATTTTGTTGGACGCGGTTCTTTATTTCTCACAGGATTCCCATTATTGACGTGGTAAACTACGTTTTTAGCCTTTGAAAACCTTCAATCCAACATTAATTCACGTTTTGGCCCACCGTTTTTTCCAAATTACTCCCACCGAAAAATCTTTATTGCCCGTTCATCACAAATTTATTCTATATTATTAATTCAACCCACTTCTTTTTCATTTTTACACCTAATCATACAAATTAAACACCAATTTAATTAGTATAAAGTTGTTATTTTCACTCTTGCGGAAAAGAGTAAAATAAATAATCCTGACCATATACCATCCTCTACATTTTTTGGGCTATGAGGTTGGAATGTGACATTTTGGCTAGGGGGCTAGCGTGGGCCTTCACACGCTTTAAATTAGGCTTCATGTGAACTTATCTTCTTCGTCACACTTTCCCTTTATTCGAATGACTTCATGATTGTTTTGAGAGCGCTTATACAATCATTTATTTTGATTATAAGCTTGTAGTTCAAAATACAAAATTTAAAGAATAAAAAGTGCATCTTTTTTTTCTACGAGATGAACTTAGAGTGTTTAAGAAAATGTAGTGCCCAAATGATATCTCGAAAAGGCACGAAGAAGGAAAAAGAGAGCATATATATTATAATAAGGCAAGGAAGAAAAACGGAGCAAAATAATTAATGTTATGAAAATGAGGCTTGAAAACACGCAAAGGACTGAAAGCTACCCAAGTCGTACATATCTCCAATTCTTTCTTTCTTTTCAAATGAAACAAAACAATTGACATATCATCTTCTATGGGTAGTTTCTTGGAAGCTGCATAAGTCTTTTATGAACGGAAGAAACACGAAACACTCATTTTTTTTTTGAAAGGTATGGATGCTTTAACTATCGTGCATTGATTAGCAATAGAAGGTTCAGGAGCCAACGAACCTCTCTTCCAATTTCTTCGTTATATTACATGTTGTTATGTTACGTCGAAGTTAAGTCATTATTTGGTAGTCCAATCAATATGTTGTTATCAATATTTGAATAATAGCATTAACGACGAATGAAGTTTATTTTCTAAATTACAAATTTGATATTTATTTAATTTAATTTAAGAATAAATAGTGAAAATAAAAGAATTTGGAGAGGGAGATAAAAATGTTTGTGGACAAAAATAAATAGAGATATAAAAAGCATGGAGTTTGATTTGAATGTAATTGCATAGGTTGGGGCAGATGTCCAATGTCTAGGGAAAGGGGCGTACAGTAGAAGTTAGGACAATTTTAACACACTAATAATAAATTTGAAAAGGATAGAAGATTAGGGATTATTGGGTATTTAATTATTTAATTATTTAATTTACACTCCCTATTGGGCTTTCGAATTGGACTTGGAGGGGACGGGCAAGATAAGGGCCCACGCCATCTGCATCCACCAACTCCTCCGCCGGCCTGTTCTTCTCCGTCGGCCTTTGTAGTTTTGAGAAAGCTCCCTCTCCCCCACTAACCCAAACATAGCTTCAGAATCAAGTAATTATTTCCATAAACACATTCCTTAATTATAATTAGCAATGAGTTTCGTTTTCATTACCAGTTAAATACAAAACTTTGATTTATGTCAACCATTTATGTTGATTCTTGTTTTGCCATTTATTATCATTATTATTTTTTATTTTATTTTAAGTATGCATCATCATGAAGCGTATAAGTAAAGCTAAGTTGGGAAAAAACACACAAAAAATGAATGAGGGTGAGGTGTTGAATAAGGAGATGGAGCCAACCCATGTTGCATATTGATGATTAAACACAATAATTGCATATGGTTGAAAATTAGGAAGCTGTTGGATGATTTGAATCAAATCAAGATTTTTGCTTTGGCTTTGCTTGCTTGTAATTTAGCAATTCCAATAATGTGCAACCAAAATCTTTGTATTCAAAATGATGGGTCCCCTACAAAGATTTTGGTATCGCTTCTACCCTATTTTGTTGATGCCACCCCCCACCCCCCCCTCTCTCTCTTCTTCTTCTTCAGTCCAATTCCTTCATTTAGTTTCACGAGCCAATTAGTTAGAGGGTTTCATTTTGGTATATGTAAATGGCAAAAGAGATGATGAAGGGGAGCTGCAAAAAGGGCGCCCCATCGCCTTGCGCTGCGTGCAAGCTTCTGCGGCGGCGTTGCACTCAAGACTGCGTTTTTGCTCCTTATTTCCCAGCGGATCAACCCCACAAATTCTCCAGTGTTCACAAGGTGTTTGGAGCTAGCAACGTCACCAAATTGTTGCAGGTTTTCTATTCCCTCTTAATTACCCATTTCCTTAATTATTAAAACCATATATATATATAGACCATGAGAAATAATGGGTACATGCTAATGTTCATACGGGTTTATGTTGACTTAAGTTGAGATTATTCAATGAGCTATGTCGTGTGTACATTATTTTAATTGGTTTGACTTCTGCATTTCATGAACTACCGAAGATGTTCATATTAGGAAATTAGCGGTAATTTTCAAGCTTTGGGTCGTGTGGAATTATTATTTTTTAGGTAAAGACATACATATATGGACACCTCTACACTTGTCTGCATCTTGCTTCTTCTTCTTCTTCCTCTTCTTTTAATTATTATTCATTTACTTTTTATGGTTTGACGTGGGGAAAGTTCTAAACCATTATTAATGTATGTTTTTAATCGATTATTATTGGCGTAATGGTGACGTTATAATGATTTCTACATTTTTTATATCTCAAAATATTCATTATTTCATCTTATAGATCATTATTATTGAGTAGAGTATGGAAGTCAAAACTTATAGTTTGATTATACATGCATCTAGAAGTTAGAAAGAAAGAGACCAACTTATTGAATAATTTTTGAAAAAAAAACCATGGAAGAGATAGTAAATCTTCATGGTAAATGCAGGAGTTACCCGAGCAACACCGGAGCGACGCAGTGAGTTCGATGGTGTATGAAGCGAATGCGAGGATTCGAGACCCAATTTACGGGTGTGTGGGAACAATATCGTGCCTACAACGACAAGTAGATGCGCTACAACAACAATTGGCGATGACACAAGCCCAGCTGCTTCATTTCAAAATGGCCCAATTTTCTTTGGCATCACAACCATCGTCCACTGATGATGTCCTCCCTTCGCCGCCCAATACCAATGTGCCCTCATTCACCTCCTTGTGATCTTGCTACCCTTTGCTTTTGTTTTGACCCATTTTTCATTGTCTCTTACATTTTGACACCTTAAAAATTTAGAGTTTTGATGCTTCCATTGACATTTTATAAACGATCGAAGAAGAAGTTAGAGAGAAAACGACATCGTCTAACATAATGTAGGCAAGTAAAATAACACAAATTTGAGATTGTATCCTATTGGTGGGCGAAAGTGAATCCTGTAGACGTTAGTGGTGCATACAAATGGCGTATAGAATGTAGTGCAGGGTTTTGAGAGGCAAATTGTTGAGAGAGAGTTGAGAGGGGAGTGAGGTTTGAACAGTAGCTAGCGCTGCTTTCAGGTCAGAGCGAGCAGATGGAGATGAAGAGATGATGGTTGATGGGCAAAATCCCATTAGTGCTGCCCACCAAAGGCCACCAAAGCCCACCAAAACCCCTGAACCCATTACCCTTCTCCCTCTCACCTAGCCCACTCTTTTCTCAATCATATATATTATGCACTTTCTACCTGGATGCTTTTTTTTTTTTTTTTTTTAATTTTTAATTTTTAATTTTTTTAATATTTTTATTCCAGGAATAAAACTATTTGTGGATACTTGCCTTTGCTGCGTTCATATTGAGAGGACTACTACATTTACAAAATATGTTGTTAATTCAAAACTTAATACACCACTATCCACATATTAACTACATGTTGGATGTGATATACATCCACTATATATAAAACCAGAATCATTTGGTGATGATGATGAACTAATCAACACTATCCCATCCCATCAACTACACCTTTTTAAACCATATGTTATATATTATTTGAATGACAAAATGCTGAACCCTCCTTCTCTTACTCTCCTATGTTTCCATATCCTAGGATGATTGAAAAATTAACACTCGGAACATTATCATAATTACCTCTGCTCATTCGATTCATTAATTATAGTACGCCCTACCCACCAAGTATTTTCATATAGTCTTCCCTTTAATTTGCTGCCCCTTTTTGATTTTCATCACTGCCATCTCTCAACTGCTGATGTATGGTAAGTACATTAACCCTCTCATCTCTTCTACCCATTCTTCTTCATCCTTCTTCCTCTGCAAATATCATAATAACATTATGTCTATTGAACCACTAATCAACTTCAAAAGCTTAATTTACTTTTTTTAAAAACTTATAATATTAAATTAAGATGTTAATGCATGTGGGATAATTAATTGCCCACTTTGTAGATAGATACATACCTGGGCACCCACATGATCTCGGTTGTATAATAATTGAGTGTCCGCTTTGTGAATACAAGTGTGGTTGATCTTAGTCGGATTAAGTTGTTGATCACATGCTTCGTTGTTCCTCGCAAATCTTCCTCGGACTCGAATCCTTCTGTCGGCTAAGGTTTTCCGACATGCATACTGTTGTTTAATTTATACACACACAAATTAACCTTATATCATACGTTGTATTCTATTAATTTATGGTGTAACCAGATTACATATATTATATACCTTTATGGTTTTGTTGAAATTTCTTTGGTTTCTCTTCTTCAAATACCGCAGAATCCTTTCTTTTCTTACTTCTTCAGAATAGCGGCCCACCTTCATGTTTGAGTCTTCAGATACAGGAACTTGGCTGCTTTGAATTTCCTAAAACAAATCACAATTAATTAAAAAAAAAATCGTAAATTTTCAGTAAGGATATAAACTAAATCATAATGGACAATTTATGACTCAACCCAGTTGTCGGGAGGAAGCGGGTGGTAAAGTGGTTCGGTCTCGGGCACCAAACGGAAGCAATCGTCTGGATATTGAAACAAGGGATGATCATCAGGTTGGTACCCAACGCAAAAGCTTTGACATGGGGCTGCATTATTAGTGGCACAGATGGAGGGCGTGTTAAGTTGAGGCAATGCGATCATGTCTTGGTGAGGAAACGAGGTGGGTGTCAGACCAGGTTTATGAGAAGAGTATTGGGATGGGGAAATAGGAGGTTGATGATGAAGCCCAAAATCATCGAACAAAGGAACCGAAGTTTCCTCGCCCCACAATACACCGCCGCCCAGTGCCGGCGCCGTTGGAGGAGGGCGCTGCTCACAGAAGTCATTGGGAATTATTGATGTTGTCGTCGTTGTATAGTCGGTGTAGAAGAATTGAGGAATGGAAGCCATATGGGTTTTGTTTTGATTAAGAAAGGAAATGGAGATGAGGGTATTTGGTTTCTTACGTGTATAGATATATAGATATAGATATAGATATATATATATTCGTGTGAGTGGGGTAGTGAAACTGGGTTAAGCTTGAGCAAGTTGTTGTTGGATGGGTGGCGGGTGGGTTTATTTGGGTATTAAAAGAGGGATATAATTCCAAAACTAACTAAACTGTGAGCAGTGTGTTTGTTTCTTAACACCTTCAAACCATGTTTAGGTTTTAGCAACAACAATTAACAAACATGGTCTGATATAAACCTTACAAGATTGTTATTTGTTAGGGAGTTTGTTGAAATGTAAAGGGCAATGCAAGAATCTGATATCACATGGACCTCAGACATTTGGCATTAACATCTTAACTACAAATATCCTCTTATGAACCTGATTACATATTAATAGAGAAATTAGGAAACTATTTTGGATTCATTCTCTTTTGATTTTCCAATAGAAATTAAAGAAAGAAAAAGAATAAAAAGGATGTCGTGAATTTATGAATTTGACTTTCTTTTGACTACAAAGTTTTTTCCCCAAAGAAGAGGTCTACAAAGTTTATCTCTATTGCCTCCACATAGGAATTGGTGATGAATATAATGATTATTCATTAGAAACTCATTAATTTCTCTGTTCTTGTAATAATTGAATTATATAGGAATTTGAATTTAATACGAGGAGATGATGATCCTTAATCAATCCAGTCAAACAAGAATTAACTTTTGTTACATGCGTTTGTTGAATTAAGAGAGGGTTATCGCATATAAAACCCAAATTGCTGCTTTTGAAGAATCTTTGTCGTCCATTATCGATGCCTTTAATTACATCAGTCCTATCGCCAACTTAAATTCACGTTGCGAGTAGAATATAATCTCGAGCGAGTGTTGTAAGACATAAAATGTCAGTAGAATCTTGAGCAATTCATTAGTTTCAAACTATTTTATAAGTATCCGATTCAAAAAGATTTCTCAACAGATTTTGCACTACTGTTTTCTTATCTTATAAAGTGATTCCCATGCTTTCATTTCTTTTCTTGTCGCTGCCTACTAAAGTATATATCAAGCTACCTAGTTCAGCAAGTAATCCTCATGGCTACGAGTGAGGTCTCCACTCCATGTGGGCGCCCTAAAACCCACTTGGACCGCCCAGACGAATACGCTTTGGTCCATTACGTATCGCCGTCGGCCTCACGGTTTTAAAACACGTTTGGTAGGAAGAGGTTTCACATCTTTGTGAAAAAATGTCGTTTCCCTCTCAAATTGACGTGAGATCTCACAAGGACTCCTCCCCGTTGAAGTATGTACAACACTACAACACGTCTGGTAGGAACCAGACGTGTTAAGTCGGGTAAAGTGGAGATTAAGAATGAAAGTAAAGTAAGTAAATCCAAGTTGGTATGGAGGATGCGTTTTATGACGTTTTATCCTCTCACGCCCAAATTGGTACAGAAGTGGAGAGTTAAAAAGAAAAAAGAGATTGAACATAAGATTTTGTAGGGCTGAAATTGGTATCAGGTACCCATCATGGATTGTTTGCCCCTTTGTATCCCATCAAACATTTTGCCCCAACACCTCTTCCTTCCCTTCTCTACACCCTCTGAGTGTGGGCCTTACTGCCCACTTGCATGGTTCTCCATAAAGTACACACCTTTGCCCATTTTCTTTGACTAAAGCTACGAATCCACACACTCCAAAAAGGGGGAAAAGAAAAGAGAAAACTATACGTTATTCCCATCATAAATCACAACTACGATGAACTTAACTAACCATACAAGTAATGCCTGGATTATGAATGAACAAATGTAAGCGCGAAATGGAAAGGCTGAAAATGAATCATAAGACGATGATATGTTGTAGAGCATAAGATGAAAAGAAAGCTTTTGTTTTGTTTTGTTTTGTTTTGTTTTGTTTTGTTTTGTTTTGTTTTGGGTGTTTGTTTGCCACTTTCACCATTCATATCTACCTATGAACATTTTCTATTTCTTTTTATATGTTTTGTGGGTTTTGCAGGCACAGGGTATGGGTATTTGCCTCTACTTTCTCTACTCTATACTCTAAACTTTCTTCTTTCTTTCTTTTTTTTTTCTTTTCCTTTCTTTTCTTTTTACAAAAAGAATAACAAACAATTATAAAATAATGAGGAGTAATCTAGGAAAAATAAACCAATTATGCATTTGGTGGGTCATGTGGGACAATTATCCTTCCATTCAAATTCTTTTTATATCATTATTTTACTAAAACTTGCTCTTCAGAACTCCCACAATGCTGACAATTTCATATTTTTCCTTTTTTTTTTTTTTTCTTTTTTAAAAAAAGTATTTTAGGGGGAAAAGAAGCCATAGGAGCGGGACACTTTTTGAAAAATGGATATGTCAAAAGGGCAATAATGTAAATAACAAGGACTCCAGCCCCGGCCCAGATCATTCTCTTCGACCAAAGGCCCACTGAACTTTTTACCGGCATAAATAGTCCAAAATCTTGGGCCTAGGGCTCCGAGGGCAACATGATTCGCGATTGTTAGTTTGGTTATGTATACTTCTTATGCTACATCTGCCCGTATAGGATATTCTCGACAATACGGCCATTGCCATAGATCCGCTTCGATCTCGGTTTACCCAAAACCGGCGCCTTCCCTCCAACTTCATCTCTGTGATCGCTCTTCTTCTACCGACAGCTCCCGTTGTTGAAGGGACTTCAGCTGGACTCTGGAGTTTCAGCTTTCAATTCAAAGCATTGACCGAATAGCTCAACCAACTGGCGCATGTAATTGCCTCGAAGAAAACTTGGCAATCTGCGGAAGACAGCGGAAGCCATGTCTGTGCTCATTGTAACTAGTTTGGGGGACATTGTGATCGACCTTCACACCGACATGTGCCCCTTGACCTCCAAGAATTTCTTGAAGCTCTGCA